AAACCTGTGTTTTAACGTCAACAAGAAATCCATTCTTTTTAATCAAAGGATTTAATCCACCCCCTTATTCAAGTACCATCTTAACTCCGTCTGTTCTAATCAACTAAATATAAGTTGATATTTCTTATTCCACAAAGACTTAAAAGTGGGAATGGAAAGAGGTTTCTGCTGAGAGAGTGTTTCTGAATCTGGTACTTTTGAATATATTTGGAGAGAGAATCCCAAAATAAAAATAATTCATAGAATGGTGAAACCCAATTCAAACAAGAAGTTAAAATATGTATCTAAATATGTCTGAGACCTGAAGAAGGGTGCACTGGTACCCAAAAGCTTGTCTGCATCCCTCTCAACTATGCAATTGGTACAATAAAAGATAACTCTAAAAAATCCTTGTCATTCTGAACATGGCTGTCTTATTAGTGGCAAGTCATCAGATGTGGTAAGTCTTGTCATACTTTTTTCCTGATAGCTGCTGATCTTATTATTACTGTGTGCTGGCAGGAACAGCATGTACCTGTACTGTTGTGATAAAGGAAAATGTGACTTACCTTCTCATTTAAAAAACCCCCTGAAATATCATAGGGATACAAGGGCATCCCAGGACCTACAGAAGATGGAACTAGCTAGGGCTATTCCTTGGGAGGCATAGGTTATCTTCTAGCCCTTGAGAGTTGCTGGAGCTCATTAGCCTCTCAGGAAGCAAGACTGGTCGATGCAATGACAATATGGCTAACACAGGAGAGTGCTTTCTTGTTTGGCTGCCTTTTGTACAGCAGCTCATCACATCACCAAATTGTATGGGGTGGAAGTGGGGGAAGGGGAGGGTGGAAAGATGCATTCTTCTGGTATTCCCCTGCTGTCATCTCGTGTACTCCCGTGTGGAGAAACTCTACATTGTGTTTGGGGATACCAGTGTTCCTTCTTAAGGGAATTTGTAGGAGCCTTGGATCTGATTCCCACAATCTGATTGTCCCATCATCTACTTTTTATTTAATTCCCCTATTTACCTGAATCCAAGATGACTTTGAATTTAAGAGTCCCTCCATCTCACCCAAATTAGATTTTTATACATGGAAAATGTTTCCATTTCTTATGCTTTTCTGTGTAAATACTCTGATTATTGGAAGGTCATCTTAAATGCATTTCCACCCCCACCCCCACCCCGTACCACTGTGGCAGGCAGCAGCCGTGGGGAAGCAAGTGGCAGGGGGAGCCTGACCCTGGACCCTTGTGTCCATGCCACTTGCTCTTTTCCTGCTTGTTCTCCGTGCACCGCCACATGTTGTGCTCCTGGGTGGCTCTGTGCTGGGTCCCTCATTGCTCTCTGGCTCAGCAAGGAGACAGCTCAGAGCCAGGGAGTGGCGGGGCAGTTGGCCCAGAGCCAGAGAGCAGTGAGACCCAGCACTGATTCCCTCCCTACTCTCTGGCTGTGTGCTGGATCTCTGGCTGCTCTGGCTCCACACTGGTTCCCTTGCTGCTGTCTGGCTTCCTGCTGAGCCAGAAGAGGTAGGAGAATGAGCCCAGAGCTAGAGGGCAGCCCAAGACCCAGTGCTCATTCCCTGGCTCTTCTGGCTCCCTGCTGAGCCAAGGAGCAGTGAGGGAATCGACCCAGAGCCAGAGTCGCGCTGGACTCAGTGCTGCCTGCAGGTACTCAGTTCTAAGAGGAGACTTCTTTTTTCCCCTGGTGAATGGGGCAAAAAAACCTTGTCTTGGAATCAAGTAAATACAGTAGGTAGTTAGTCAGCGGTATCCATTTTCAGTCTTGCATTTCCCAGTTAGTTTATGCTACTGTCAGCAGTATTCTGAGTGAAGAATTTTTCGGTGCAAACCACAGTGGCTAGCCGTATAACAGTGACAATAAGAAGACTGTGGAGTGGAGGATGCAGATGGTAAATAAGACTGGCCAGGTCTTATAGTCATTCATTCGCCAGCTGAACTTGGTGGGTCTGGAATCATGAAGTGAGCCCAAACTAGTTGGATAACAGCTTGTTGTGACCCTGAGTGATCACACTGGTGGCTGCAGAACTTTAGGGTGCAGAAAACCACATTCTTGGAGTCATGTTGAGCTTAATTGGTGCAGTCCTTTATTGAAGCAACATTCGTTTCAGTAGGAGATGGTGGTATAAGGCCAGAGATGACAGATGGTGGAATACCAGGAGGCAGTGAGATGATACTGGTCAGCCTATGATAGGCAGTGATCTCAAAACAACATTAAATGTTTTCCTTACGTTTAATGAGTGGGAATGAAGTCTGCCCACTTACAGATAGCTATTTGTTTTACTCATTGGTATTCTACAATTAAATGTAGAAAGTTAATTTAATGATTATATATTTTAAATAAATTGTAAGACATACTTGTATTATTAGGAAGTGTGTCAGTAGTGTATGGTGTCCCGATGTGCAGAAAAGACGCACATTTAAAAAGTACATTGTCTGCTGCTTCATGTGTGGGGGGGGGGGCATGTTGTTTTTTTCCTCTGAGTTATCTGCTGTAGAATCAATTATCTCCTAGTATTCTGCATGCCAATTCCAAGTAATTGACTGAGTAAAAAATCCTGTAATTCAGGTACAGCAGTCCTGTTTGCATACTGTGAAATGCAAGAGTAGTAAAAGGATTACTGACAAGTGAGAACATTCAGACATTAGTAGCACTGAATTTTCTCCTTCTTGAGCTCTTTATGTTCAGCCCTTCTATATTTTAGTGCTTTAATTAAAAACCTAGAGCAAGTATAAAGGTTAGAGTGGCCGTCTCATAGCTTGAACTCTGTTTTTGCCACAGATTGCATTGTCAGCGCCATTACCTTCCATCACAAATACCCACCACAGTTCACCAACCTCTAGCCAGAGAGTATGCTGCTTCAGTTTTCGTCCTTTAAGGCTGAGAGCCCTCTTGGTTTTATATGTAATCACTAGTAGTAATCCAAAGGCACATTTACACAGCCACCAGGTTGTGCCCAGTACTGCTACTGAGCAGTATGTCCTGACCTACCCACTTATTCCCTCTCCACTCATGCCAGATCTGAATAAGGCAATGTAGCTGCTTTCCAGTGGCATTGTTTGCATGCTAATATGCACATGTGGCAGAGCTGAAGAGTCATGCTGAAGTATGCACCATAAGGTTGCTATGTCCTCTTATTTTTTTGGGATTGAGGACATACAGAATAGGGACAACTGGGAGGAGGTATGCTTCTTGTTGCCGTTTTGCTTGCATTATGGAGGTAGTAGTCTTTGTAGCGTGTTTTCGTCATCTAAACATGGATCAGTTAAGGTAACTGTCAAGATTAAAGATAATTTAGGTATAAACCATCTTAAACTTAACTAACCTTTTGCCTTAGTTTTTCAATAAGCATGGCCAACTTAAACGTAGGAGTATATAAAACTGACTCATGGTAGTGATCACATGGAAATGGAAACTACCACAGTGGGTGGAAACAAAATTCAGAAGTTCAGTATGCTGCATTTGCAGAGGATTAGGTAAAATCTCCATTCTGGAAATCTGAAAGAGCTGGCATGTGAAATCTCTGGTCCAGGAGCCATGATTTTTAATGTATCTGCTGAATTGGGGATGGTACCACCTGGCTGGAGATCAAGAAACATAATGCACATAATTTGGAAGTGACGGGAAGCTCTAAGGAACTACAGGCCCCTCTTGACTCCAGCAGTACATCGGGTTTTAGAACAAATATAGAAATAAAGAATGGTTAGACCTGGAGGTAAACCAGGAAAGGGATAGTCTACTTTTAGTAAAGCCATATTGTAGCTTGTCATATGAAGCAGATATCCACATATTTTAATAAGGTAACTGATTTTTTTTCTAGACAAGAAATGTGGCAGATCTAATCTGCACTTAGGTACAGTGCCATGTGGGAAAGTACTAGTTAAAATAGGCATTAGCAGAAACATTGTAAGCTAGCAGTCAGCAGTCTTCTTGGGCTGCAGGCCAGAATGACCCAGTTTTGAGTCAGAAGTAGGAGGGTATGTGCCTAGGACCCAGCCACTGCTGCTGCTTTTCCCTATGCAGGCTTAAAAGGAAGGTGGCAGCAAATAAGGTAGAAAAATGGAAGTATTTGACTAAAAGAAGCTATTGGAGGACAGTTCCTCAGAGTTCAGTCTTATGAACTTATCTTTGTGCTTATTATGCAGTTTGAGAGAGATTGTCAGTACAGAGAATATTAGTCTCCATATGAGGAAATGTCTGACCTTGAGGATTGCAGGAATAGTAATGGGATTGCATTTAATATTAAGGGCCTGGTCATACCTTTAAGACCAATGAAAATTTCTGCCCTGAGTTGAGGACTCATTATAGAGGAGAAGAGACCAGGGTATGCTAACATACTTGATCACTGAGCTGCCAATGTGATGCTAACATGGGAAATTAAATTGGGGAGGTATGTAAATACCAGGGAAGGGGACAAGCTATTTTAGGTAGAAAGCAGCGTTGACCCAAGAACAAATGGGGATATATACCGAACATATTTTAGGTTGGAATGTCTTTTAAGCATAGGAGGATTGAAATTCTGGAACAAACTTCAAGTGGTAAAAGGTAGGGCAAGAAATCTAGCTAGCTTCAAGATATGGCACCTGATAAGTTTGTCAGAAAGTCCCCTGCAGGGGAGGAGGACTTGATGACACGGAAGATCTCATCTAGTTTCTAAGTCTAGTCTGAAGAATTATGTGAAATACTTCAGTGTTTGTCTGGTTCCTGGTTGACCAAAGTATATGTCAAAAATTCCATACGAGATGTCAATTAAGCAAGTTGTGACAAGCTTAGGAGAGATGCCAAGGATTGGTATGAACAAAGAATGTACTAACCTCACATAACTAGAGGAAGCTTAAAGGTTGAGGTTTTATGGAGGCTTTTATGGACCCTTCCCATTCCCCCAGCCCTAGGTGAAAGATGTTTTGTTTAAAGGGCTTTCCGTGTAGCAGTTTACATCAGCACTAGTTTTCATTATCACTATTTTTTTTTAAATAGTTGCATAACTTTTTTTCTTTCGCAGAACAGTTCGTGTCTGGCTGAAGAGAGACAGTGGGCAGTACTGGCCTAGCATATACCATGCAATGCCATGTAAGTATTTTGGGATGCATATTTACTGTGAATCTGCCAACCAATTTTTCTCTTGGTCTTGATGAGCACCTCTGTGCTTATGACCTTTTGGGAGCTCTTCATTGCATGCTTGATACTGTGCATCTCTGAAGCTTTTGCAGGCTAGGAACTAATACTGAATCCCCTACCTTAATTTTTAATGTAAACTACTTTTCCTTTGTTTCTGTCACTATATCAAGTGTCAGTTTTGTGTTCAGAGACAAAAAGGAAGACACAGTTCTTACCTTTTGAAGAGGTTAATGTTGTTTGCATATTAAATACACTGGGATGAACTGAACACAATAAAGTAGGGACTTGGTAGAAAATAAGATTGTTAGCCATATGAGCTGCTGCTTGACATGGAAGAGCATGCAAACAGTGGGAGAGAAGCGTTGGGGCTGGCTTGGAGGGGAAACTTGAGATGAACTAAATAAGGGATGAAGAGCAAGTGGAAGGGACAGCAGAAATATATGATGCCAAATGTAGTTGTATAAGGCTTTGAAACTAAGGAGAAGTTGAGGAAAGATCAGCAATTGAATTTGCAGAAGGTTTGTGATCTGATCAGAGCAACGGGGGGGAAATGATTCTCCCCCTCCTCCCCTCACTCCCAACTGCCTTCTGGAGGGACTGGAAAGTATAAATTGAGGGCAGTGCAAGAGGAGAATATGATAGTAATTGTTTGGTAATTTCCTGCCTCAGTAAGAAAAGTGAAGTGAGAACATGGTTTCTCCGGATGAAAAGCACAAAGGATTTTTCAGCCATCTAAATATGGCAAAGAGCAGGCACGAAAAAAAGCACCAAGTATGTGATCCTGACTTACGAGGCTTATGGAATTTTGTCTTTATTAGAAGAAAGGTCAAGTTTAAGTTGGTGTAACCTTCTGGCTGGAAGTAGAAAAGACAATGGGAGATGAGATTTGAAGAATAGGAGAGAATTCAGTAGTGCAAAAGAAAATCCATGTGCCAAAGAGAAGGCTCAAGTTTGGCAGCTGCACTTCTGAAGGTCATGTTGGAGAGGGAAGATAAGAATTTCAGGCACCTACTGTGTGGGAGATGCTCAAACACTTACACTTATGAATCAAGTGCCAGAATTCAATTATTCAAATTCTGCCATTAGAGGGGTAAGTTAGGGTTTAGTCTTGAATATGTACCCTTCAGATTTGCCCCCCAATCCCACCATAGCAGGATAATCTTAAATGCTTAGTTAATTAGAAATTTACTATGGTTACTTTAGTGTTGTAAAAAAGAGTGGTGAGGGAAGAGGGCAGTGCCCTGTTCTATCTGGCAAATCATCTTTGCCTTCTGAAGGGATAGTGTAGTTATGAAATTTTAACAATGGTTTTAATACTGAAACAATAAATTTATTCATAGATTTCTAAAACAATGTTCTTTCCATCTCTCTCACCTAGCCTCAACCTTGTACTGTATGAGAACACTTGTTGAAAAATAAATAAAAGCTTTCTCTGTTTAAGTAATAAACAGTTGCTGATCACCGATCACTTTCTAGAGTCGTTGACCGACAGGCCCATCTCCTTACTGAAATAGAATACTTAATTGTATTATAACTGTTCCCATAGGATCTTAAATTTGACAGACTACTACAGCATTATATATTATAGTAGGAAGGTACAGAATTTCTTTCTACCTGTTATGTGCATATGCATTTTTGGTTAACAGAAAAATGTACTAACAAGGAAGCAAACTTAATCTTCTTTTCCTAGCTTTGTGCTTGTGAGCAAGATTATAAGAGTATTTCTGCACTGTATACTTAGAGAGTTGTACCAAAAATGTGCTGATCTATGTCTTCAGCTGGCTTTAAGTCTGTAGTTCTATCAAAGTCAATGGTACTGGGCTGACTTTCAGCAGCTGCAGCTACGTTTGTCTTCTGTAAATAGCTGTATTGTTCCTTCAAGCAGAAACAGGGTAAGTTGAGTGGGGCCCCAGCCAGGTGAGACTTACCTGCTGGGGAGGCGCACCCCCTAATTTTTTTCTCAAACTGCCCTCCCTTCCTCTCCACAGACTTACCTGCTGGGCAGAGGGGAAAGGGCAGGGGTGGTGGTGGCACACAGTAGATCTTGGTTTGCCTTTTAAATGCCAACGACGATCTCCTCCTTAAAAAGGTTGGAGACCACTGATCTAGCAGAATGGTATTTTCTCTGGCTGATTTTTCATACCTGCATAAATTGTGGTCTAAGTTCCTGTTCACATCTCTGATCTACACCTACAATGGTCGTTTTATGTATTACTGTGAACAGTATTGAGAACATTTGGTCAGCTTGAGTTGTCTCAGATTTAGTTTCGAGCAGGACTCAAAAAAGTTCTTCCTGCCCCCTTTTAAAGAATCATTCTGGCATATGCCCCCAAATAACTGCTTGAAAAAAGTTTAGATCCATAGCATATGTTGACCATTCCTTATTTCTTTCAAAATGCATGCAAGGATAGTGATGGGACTAGAGCAAGGCCAACTGAATTGTCATTAACTATGCCTTTTCTGAAATGTGACTTTAGAAGTTACTGGGTCATGAGTGAGCATCATCCCTGTTGCTCAAGTATCCACTGTACCAGAAGTAGCCTTGCTGTCTCAGAGTGACACTGCCATGCTGTGGATCCTCTTGCCTGTAGCTTTTCTGGTTAGAAGAAAGCACCTGCAGACTGTCATAAGGAGGCTTAGTGTGGGAATGCAGCAGGGGAAAGAGTGCCTACTTGTTGCCAGAATGTTCTGAAATTCTCAGTCCCAAGCACAGCTATCCCATTGCATTTGCATGTGGCTATTACGGTATCACTGTTAAAGGCCTTAGACATACAGGATGCCTTTTTATGATTTTCTCTGTGTGAAGAAGAGGGTGTGATATTTAGAAATGAGCCAAATATTGGCTATGTGAGATTGAACAGGCCTTGTGCTGCAATGGGATCATTTGTGTTTTGGAAAACAAGGAAGTGATATCTTGAGTATGGCATAAGAATCAAATAGGGGACAGCATTCATAGAATCATAGAAGTAGAGTCGGAAGGGACCTTATAGATCTTCAAGTCTGACCCCCTGCCAGGGCAGGAGAAAAAAAAACTGGGCTCCAGTGATCCCAGCTAGGTAGGCATCAAGCCTCCTCTTAAACACCCCCAGGGTAGGAGCCAGCACCACTTCCCTTGGAAGTTGGTTCCAGCTTCTAGCAGCCCTGACTGTGAAGAAGTTCTTACGGATGTCTAATCTAAACCTGCTCTCCAACAACTTGTGGCTGTTATACCTTCTTATGCCAGGGGGCACTAGGGCAAACAAGGTCTCTTCCAAACCCTTCTGGTCCCCCCCTAGTGAGTTTATAGACTGTCACCAGGTCCCCCCTCAGCCTTCTCTTGTGAAGGCTGAACAGGTTCAGGTCCTGCAGTCTCTTATTGTAGGGTCTGCCCTGTAGTTCCCGGATCATTTGGGTGGCCCTCCTCTGGACCCTCTCAATGTTGTCCACATCCTTCCTGAAGTGGGGCACACAGAACTGGACGCAGTACTCCAGCTGTGACCTGACCAGTGTTGCATAGAGGGGGAGGATCACTTCCTTGACCCTCCTTGAGATGCCCCTGTGGATGCACGACAGGGTCTGGTTAGAATTTAAACAGGGTGCTTTTCACCCCATCGTCCAAATCGCTGATAAAGAGATTGAACAGCACGGGCCCAAGGACCGAGCCCTGGGGGACTCCGCTGCCCACATTAGCATAGGACTGTTTTGAATTGCTTAAAGGAAGTTGCTTTTCTGACTTTGACCCTCTGTGACCTCACGACCTCTGCTATATGGAGTTTCTTTGGGCAAAGATAGGACAATGGCATGGTCATTTAGCAGTTGGCTAATATCTCTGTGTGGCAGAGTAAATAGTGCTGCTCATTTTGTTTTTCTTTCCTTCCTTCCTTCCATTTTCAAATGTGCTAGACTAATTCATAGTCACAGTAAGGTCACCCCCAAGAACATGGGTAACAAGAAATTTCAGTTAAAAAAGAAATAACGCCCCCTTCCCCCAAATCATGGCTGCTCTCCAGGGTTAATCAGGAGAACCCAAAACCTAACTTGTATGTACTTCTTTCTTTCAGCTCCTAGAGCTGTGAAGTTGATGGCAAAGGAACCCAGTGCCAGTGGCTGGGGTGGAAGGGGTGGCCCACTTTTAGACCTAACTGTATTGGTTCAGCCTGCCATTCATAATAATTGCAGACCCCTGCTCTAGATGATTGCTCTTTAAAATCATAAAGTCCTCAAGACCTAAGCACTTGAGTGCTGTTTAAGGTTCATTTTTCTTATAAGTACAATACCTTCAGGCTTATGAAAGGGGAAAAACCACGTAGTAAGGAGAAAGTGCTTTTAAACTAACCAGTGGGGTCTCCACCAAAACAGAGACCATGGTTCCAGCCTATACCCAAGTGGAGCGTGCTGTCCCTGCCCCTACCCGGACACAGCCCTGGCCTCCACTCAGGCAGAGCCTCTGCCTCCATGTGGAAGCTGCCTAGCAAGACTGCAGGCAGCTGGGTTTGGGGACACTCATACCTCCCCTTGTGGGGTGTGCCCAATGGTGGCGGCCCTGAAGTGCCAGATTAGGGAATTTCGGGCAACAGTCCAGTGGCTACGCTCCATTAGAGATTTAGAGCAGGAACCGGACTCTTACTTTCAGGCTCTCCACCCGATGGCTCATGACAGCGTGGTGGAACTAAGTCCAGCCTGGGGCTGCCTGGATGACAGTTGTCTCCAACCCAGAGAGGTGCAGCACCAGGGTTACCACTACCCTGGAGCTTCACAACTGCTTTGCATCTCTTGCATCAACAGAGCCAGCCATACTGCCGGCTCCAGCATGTGAGGACACAGGGCCACCAGCACCTGCTCCTAGAAAAAGACAGAGTTTATCATGGTGGGGGACTAAGGGAGCAATCTGTCTCCCTGACCCCCTAGCCCATGAGGTCTGCTGCCTGCCTGGAGCTTGTGTCCGGGATGTGATGGAGAGGGTCCCGAAACTC